CTTTGCTTTGATAATGCACCTCCAGATTGTTGAAAGGATGCTTGCAATGAGGAAATCTTAGATCTCTGTGCTGAACAGGTAGATCAATACAAAGCTATTTGTATAGTGGTTAGGCTGGTAAGTTAAATTCACTTTTTAACATGTTTGCTTCTTGATGATTTGTTTAGGAAATGATAACAATTAAGTAATCTTTGTGATGGTAAATGGTATTATTTCTAGTAAAATCAATTCTTAAATCCAGAACTAACGGTTGTTTAATATGATAGCAGCTAGTTGCAATTTAGTAATACATCAGGGCTCATGTATTTTAGTAGTTTAAAGCCACATTAAAGGTGGTTGAAAAATATTTTTCATAATATAAGAAAGCTGTAGGTGCCTGGCATAAGAAGTAGGTTAAAGTATATGTATTCCTGCATGTTGGGAGTAATGTTAATTTTACACACACAACACATGGTTCTTAGAAGAAATAAAAGATTGCAACAGAATCTTTAAGTGAAAACACTTTCAATCTTAAATTGAGTGCTGACATAAGCAGCTGCCCCTATTCTCAATATTGTGGAAAGAGATTTAATTGATAAGGTTAAGAATGGAATGGTGACATCTACTGTGCCTTTATCCAACACTGATTGCTGCACAGTGCCAGCGGCCACTGGAATGTTACTGAAGAACGCTTTGGTACTGGACATGTTTCTTCTTGGTGAATTGTAAATTCTGTCGTCTTGGCCTGGCCTGCAGAACCACTGGGAATGTGTATGGGGGAAGGAAAGCGCCTGTCACTTTTCATTTAAAAAAATTCCCTAGCCACTTTAAAATGTTCATTGCTATAGGAAAAATCAGCTAGGGAGTTGATCTTGGGTGCAGGAGTTAGTGGTAGCTAAGTGGAGAAGAGCAAAAAGTTGTGTATTGGGTTGTTTGTGTGTGCACTGAGGCATGGTAGACAGATTGGAACATGGTCAGCAGCTGCACCTATCTGTGTCTCTGGGAAGAGGCAGGAGAAAGTGGCCAATATGGAAGCATGAGGGGAAGTGAATAGAGGTGCCAAATTGACTGGTGAAGGCTGGTTCAGCCTAAGAAGGTTTGTAGTATGATGTGACAATAGCAGCCCTCTGAAGTGTCATCAGTTCCATAGGTACAGCTGTTTCCTTCACAAATTCCAGATTAATACACATGTGATCATTTCATTTGCCCCTTGTAATTCAATTTGGTATGGTAATGTCACTATAGCTCACTGGGTTATAGCTGAGAATTCTAAATTCAGAACAGACTGCTGAGAAATAGGGCAGATTCATCCCAAGCTGGTGGTTATCTTTTCATTGTATTGTACAAATGTGAACTTTTATATCATCACACTTGTTAAGAAGAGGTCAAAATGCAGTGTGTATATATAGGCATTCCAGTCCTTAACTTACCACTCAGATACTGGACTGCACAATGAGTGATTACTGAAAAACCATTTTATCAGATGTGGGGTTTGTCCAATCCCAAGGGATCAATCAGCCACATACCCAGGTCAATATATAACACAGATCTTATCCAATAATCATGCTATTACCCAGGGCTCGACTAACTGCGGCGAGATCATCTTGCCAGCCGCGCATGCGCCAGACTGGCACTGCGCATGTGCACAGCACTGGTGAATGGGGTGACTGGTTGAAATCTACTCACCACAGTGAGTAGATATAGCAATTTGTGGAGCCCTGCTAATACCAGTCCTTTAGTAGATAAAAACTAAAGGGTCAATAATATAAAAAGAGAGAGAAGAAGAGAGTTGCTGAATGGTTAAAGGATCATATGCATACATGTAATTTTTAGTGTTCATAGATCAGGATCACCGCAGGAATGAAATAAATTGTTGGCCTTAGATGGCTCTCTGGAATTATATTGGGGATCATAAATCCTTGTTTAAAGGTTTCATGTTAGAAATCCAGTCCAGAGAAATTAAGCAGGGAATGAAGACAAATGGAGACATTTCAGGGATCTTTTATATTTTTTGCCTTGTGCATGGAATTTTACTATCCCAAACCATGCCCATAGCCCTGTTTGTGGAAAGCTTTAGTGGCCAGAGATGGAGTCTAGGGCCTTATGAGCATATCACATGTCGTAGACTCATAGACTTTAAGGTCAGAAGGAGCCATTATGATCATCTAGTCTGCCCCCCGGCACAATGCAGGCCACAGAATCTCCCCCATCCACTGCTAGAATAATCCTCTCATCTGTGTCTCAGATATTGAAGTCCTTGAAACGATGGTTCAAAGACCCCAAGATGCAGAGAAGTGACCCGTGCCCCATGCTGCAGAGGAAGGTGAAAAACCTCCAGGGCCTCTGCCAATCTACCCTGGAGGAAAATTCCTTCCTGACCCCAAATATGGCGATCAGCTGAACCCTGAGCATGTGGGCAAGACGCACCAACCAGAAACCCAGAAAAAAGTTCTCTCTAGCAACTCCTATTTTCCTACCATTGGCCTTTTTACCACTGATAGTAAAAGGTCAATTAATTGCCAAGATCATGGTACCTCATCAAACCATCCCCTTCATAAACCCATCTAGCTTTATCTTGAAGTCAGATAGGTCTTTTGCCCCCACTATTTCCCTTGGAAGGCTGTTCCAGAACTTCACTCCTCTGATGGTTAGAAACTTTCGCCTAATTTCGAGTCTAAACTTCCTAATAGCCAGCTTATATCCATTTGTTCTTGCGTCCACGTTGGTACTGATCTTAAATAATTTCTCTCCCTCCCTGGCATTTATTCCTCTAATATATTTAAAGAGAGCAATCATATCTTTCCTCAACCTTCTTTTGGTTAAGGTAAACAAGCCAAGTTCCTTGAGTCTCCTTTCATAAGACAGGTTTTCCATTCCTCGGATCATCCTAGTGGCCCTTCTTTGTACCTGTTCCAGTTTGAATTCATCCTTCTTAAACATGGGAGACCAGAACTGCACACAGTATTCCAAATGAGGTCTCACCAAGAGTGCTGTCTTGTATAACGGCACTAACACCTCCTTATTCCTACTGGAAATACCTCGCCTAATGCATCCCAAGACCGTATTAGCCTTTTTCACAGCCATGTCACAATGGTGGCTCGTAGTCATCCTGTGATCAACCAGGACTCCGAGGTCCTTCTCCTCTTTCGTTACTTCCAACTGATGTGTCCCCAGCTTATAATTAAAATTCTTGTTGTTAATCCCTAAATGCATAACCTTACACTTCTCACTATTAAATTTCATCCTATTACTATTACTCCAATTTACAAGATCATCCAAATCTTCCTGTATGATATCCCAATCTTTTTCTGAATTGGCAATACCTCCCAACTTTGTGTCATCCGCAAACTTTATTAGCGCACACCCACTTTTAGTGCCGAGGTCAGTAATAAAAAGATTAAATAACAATGGTCCCAGAACTGATCCCTGAGGAACTCTGCTAGTAATCTCTCTCCAGCCTGACAGTTCACCTTTCAGTATGACTCGCTGTAGTCTCCCCTTTAACCAGTTCTTTATCCACCTCTCAATTTTCATATTGATCCCCATCTTTTCTAATTTAACCAATAATTCCCCATGTGATACTGTATCAGATGCCTTACTGAAATCGAGGTAGATTAGATCCACTGCATTTCCTTTATCTAAAAAATCTGTTACTTTCTCAAAGAAGGAGATCAGGTTGGTTTGGCACAATCTACCTTTTGTAAAACCATGTCCTTGCATGGTTTGCTAAATCAGAGAGGTTGGCCACTGGTCCCTTGGTGTCTGAGGCATCTTCAGCAAGCGCTCATTGAGCAGGATGAATTTCTTCTATGGCCTGCTGTGAGAGCTGAGTGTTCTAGATGGGCAATCAATATATAGGTGTCTGTCTTTGATGTAAATTTATTTGAGAGGTGTCACCCAGGAACAAACCCATTTGAGATACAAATGCTAGCTAATATTCAGAACTTTAGATGATACGTGGATTTAACCATCATGTTGGCTGGCTTGTAACTTTGCAATTGACACCTTACATGACACACTTTGTAGAAGTTGTATAGAGTGCTCATATCAATTATATAAATGGTCGTAGTCAATCATACAGCATCGCAGGTCATATTTATTGTTTGGCACAAACTCTGATGCAATGATACCGTGCAACATTGAACAGTTGCCACAGTTTTATCCCAGACTCTGCAAAAAAAGATGCAACATCCCTCATTGATCAGACCTGTAGATTGCCATTTGCTATTGGAGACAAGGTTAAGTACTTACTCTGTTTAGTCACTATTGTGTCATCACTTCCCTTCAAAAATTTTTAAAAAAGTCAGTATTTCTAGGGCTCTTGTGACATGGACCAGCCAACAACTAAGAATTGAGACATTGCCATTCTCACCTTAGTGTCTGAGATTTTTTTAAGGATTGTGGGCTCAAGTACTATTTCATGCAATAAAGGCTTATAGGTCTGATATATATACACTTCCATCTTGGTCTGAAGATATTTCTCCCACAGGCTTCCTTAGTTCATAGTTTAGATTTTTTTTACAAGGCAGTCATAAGAACCTTGTTGCACCTATGGGTAGGATTCAGGTGTGACTTATGGATAGGATACAGGGTGGGAAACAGGGCTCATCCTCTTACAATATGCTAGTGGGGCTTCTAGTAGTAGACCTACAACCAGATCCATGACTTTGGAGTTTGAATCTCATTTTTAATGGCTCTGATCACTTCGCTTGGTGCCTCTACTGGCTTTGTCTTCTACTTTGATACTAAAAGTAAAATTACTAGTGGTTATTATATCTGTATGAAGAATATGGGTGACATAGAATCTAAGAGTCTGTACTTATGATGTGTGGAGATTTTTATTCCAAAGGTAGTATTCCCATTTCATTTAGAAAAAGAGATGTCATTGATCGGTTTTTACTCCGCTGTAAAGATAGAAGTGAGTTAGTAGCATGCTTTAGAGATTAGAGACTCTAAAATTTTCTGTGAACCATACACAGCAATATCTGAAGTTATGCAGGAATCGTATTTTTAACTTGCAGCTGTTCATTGGAAACCAAGAATTTAAAATTAAAGAAGATGGGACCCCAGAAGTGGATGAATTTGATATGGTATGTAAACTCACTTATTTGGCAGCTAAGTGAGACACCCAGAATATAGGCCAGTGCTGCTTTGGTTTTATGCCCCCTGGAGTTGCAGCCTTATAGTGCTGTTTTTTTCTTACTGACCATGATGGTCTCTGGAAGTTCTGCTTGACTTTGTTTTCACACAAGAATCATTCTCATTGGATTTCCCCCTTTCCCTTCCCCCCCCCCCCGAAAATATAGCTAGTTATAGTGGTTAGAATTTACAATTTTGTGTTACTTAGTAGTTGTTGAATTACAACCCTAGTAAATGGCGTTGCCTCTCCCCAAGCAGTGGGGCATGCCTCAATCGCTAGGGTTTAAGCCATGTGTGGCTTACCATAAACTCATGCCCATTAGAGCAGGGGTTTTCAAAGTTGGGACGCAGGCCTGCCCAGGTAAGCTGCTAGCAGGCCACATGACACTTTATTTATTTAAGCATCCGTAGGCACAGAGCCTTGTAACTCCCATTGGCTGCGGTTTGCTTTTCATGTGTTAAGATTTTGGATTGTAGAAATAAATCATCTAAACTGTGGTATAAATGAAGGTCAGATGATAAGTTAGCCCTGTTGGTTTACTTTGCTTTTTTTTTTAAATGTCAGAGTTGAGACTAAAGTGAAAAATAAATCTTGAACTTGATAAAAACTAAAGTAACTAAAATGAATGAAGTGGAGGGCACATGAGTTTTAATTGTCCCCTTGATATTCAGGATTTCCCTAATGATATCAAATAAAAGCAATTGAAAGTATTCATTTATAATGGCTATGGGTAGTGGCACTGTGAACACATGACATATTAAAAGTCTCAGAGGGGTAGCTGTTAGTCTGTAACTAAAAAAACTTCAACAACAATGGTCCTTTAGCCCCTTAGAGACTAACCAATATATACAACTAGTATCATGAGCTTCTTCTTCAGATGACAAATTAGTGAGGAACTTGCCATAGTGTTAACAAGTACCACCTTTGTTTAATGTCCTCAAAATTGGCATTGTTAGGTCAGCACTTTTTTTTTTTTTTTTGCATGTGAGAGATATCCGAGCTTCAAATACTTGGAAGATGCATTGAGGAAATATTTGATTTGTTAATGGGGCTTTATGGAGTTGGAGACTTGTGTGTTTCTCTTGCTAAGTAACTCTTTTCTCTCGCCCTTACCTTTTGTTTTCCCTTAGGACCACAAGGTTAAATCTCTACTCTTGAATTTGACCTGCAGTAATAGAATGACTGCTGAGCAGGTGCTGAATCATGACTGTTTCTTGTTGCCTGATGTGATCTCCGCTCCACCACACAGTGAATCTGGTGAAGAAGTTGAATGTGAAAAGAAAGAGGAAAAAGGCGAGGACATCATCAATTCCGACAGTATAGATGACAATGAGGAAATAGGCCCTTCTCAGTAGGCCTGAGGACTTGCCAGTTATTTTTTGCTGCATTTATTTTTATTTTGAGTTCTTAAATAAATAAAAATAAAAACATAAAGGGGATCTGAAAGTAGTTGTCCTATTCTCAAATATTCAAAATATAAAAGGATTTGATAATCTCAATCATTTTTGTGTAATTACAAGTGTGGCCCCTTCATTGGGATTTCTTCCAAAAATATATTTCTAAACTGTTTGAAGTTAAGAGCATGATGATTCTAATTGAGGCAATAGCAAGGAGAAATGCTCCCAGGTTTGGCAGTGCTTTGGCTTTTTCACTTTGACCATTCTGAAGACTTTTTGAGGAGACGTTAATTAATGATGGTAGAGCTATTAGCTAGATACCAGGAGATTACATGCCTGTTCATGCCTGCTATCCTCTCCCTCTTTCCTCTTCTCTTTCTCTGCTCCCTTCCAAATTGTTCCTGTTAAAATAGATGGCTGCTACTGTTAATGAGTGGCTAGTGATGTTTTTTGTCACATAGCTAGGCAGATGTTCCAACAACAGCCTCTGTGACAGAAACCACCTGTGGTGCCTTGGAAATTGGTCAGCGGGGTGCACTAAATGGAGAGAGCTATCAAGCCTATTTTCCCTATCCAGAAATCAAGCCAAATATGTTTGAGCCCTTCTGATTGAGTTGGCAAAGGGCCAAATATATTGTCTATTTCATACCAAAGCACCTGGCTGGCCAAATAAAATACCAGGTCTTGTTATCTCAAGAGAATCCTACATATCTGTTTATAAAAGTGTTTGTGTGGGGGGAAGAGGGAGGGAGGTGTTTAAGCAGGAAACCATATTGTGTCTTCCAAGTTTTAATCCTGATAAAAATAAATACAATTTCTGAATGTTTGTTGAAACACATTTTGAAAACTGCAGATTTTCACTATAGGTGGGGGAGGTGTTGGAATAAACAAAAAAATAAAACCTCAAAATATTATGCAAAAATTGGAACAAATCTGTATATAATTTCTGGGACACAAGAAATCGGTCCTGAATTGAATGTTTATTGAAGCCACTGCTAGGCCACTCATTCAGTAGTGTATTTGGAAACCTAAATGGGAAAGAGGAAGTAGCAGTGGAAAAGATCAGAGGTAGAATTCCTGTAAAAATATATCTGGCCACCGGGTGTTGCTCTTGCCTGGTAATATTGCTCATGGACAGCCTTTTAGCCAGAGATTATTGTGTGTTGTAGATTTTTTAACAGAATTACTGTAGTAGGTCATTACCATTTGAAGATTGTTCAGTGTTGTAGTTTTTGTTTTGGGGAAGACTGAAGTTTTCATGTCCAGCGATACTTAACGTGCAATCTTGGAATTGCTTCTGTAACATTAAAGAATGTTTTGGCAGAGGTGATATTTCATCTTTAATTGATATTTGTTTTTCTGACTGTTTTATTGCAGATTAAGATGTTCAGTCTTATTTTTCCTATTAGAGGGCGCTTATCAGATATTTGTAACTACCGTAAAATAAAAATTGGCGATAGCAAAATCTTTGGAAAGTGACTTTGGTTTCTGAGTTATTTAGGGTTGACACATACATTTTGATTACTACGCATCTAGCTTTTTTTATATTAAACTGTATTATCACAGTGAAAAAGTAACAGAATATGCAAAAAATTTAAAACAGTACTTACATATTGTTGAATGAAGCTTTTATTAATTCAGGGATATGTTTTAAGTAAATGCTGCAGTAAGTATCTAGATCACTAACTTAATATTTGGGTTTTATTTTCAATACTGCATTGAAGATTTGGTTTGAGGAGGTATGTGTGTATACATAACTCTCCCCAAAATGCTTTCTTGAGCCCTAGAATTTTAACTATAATCTTATTATTGCTTATATTAGGATTCACCTTGGAGCCCCAGTCATGAAGAAGGACCCCATTGAATGAGGTGCTATACAAACATGAACCAAAAGATGGTCTGTACCTCAAAAAACTTGCAATTTGTTGTAACCAACATAGTGACATTGGAGTTTGCAGAGAGCCTGAAACAATAGTTCTGAAAAAAGGAAACCAAGTAATTTTAATGAAAGCATCAATGCCTAATGATGATTTAAATGTCATTAACTCACTTACTGATTAACAAAGTGTGTTAGGAAGTAGAGGCAGGGTGGTGGTATGAATCCACTGTGGATAACATCTCATTCAGCCACCATGAGGGGTAGTTCTTATGAGAATACCACTACTTATTGTGGAAGCTGTTATCCAAGATTGTTCAGGTCTGTGTCCCAGTGAAGGAGAAACCAGTGATGTGGACTCTGCGTATATTCTAAATGTGACTTGTTTTATTTAAACACATACACCAAATCTGAAACAGTGGTCACAAATGACATACTGGCAATCTTTTATTTCAGAAATTTCAACCTGCCCTGTTCCCAGAAAGCAGAATGGATGAAAAGTGCTATGTAAGAGCTAAATGGTATATTTATTACTTTTATTTTATTATTGCAGATCTTGTCTTCATAGTCCATACAGTGTAACTAGCGGGCTGTGTCTACACTGGGCCACTTATTCTGGAAAATCAGCCGCTATTCCGGAATAAGATGCAAGCTGTCTACACTGGCCCTTGAATTTCCGGAAAAGCAACGATGCTCTACTGTACAAAATCAGCCGCTATTCCGGAAAAACTATTCTGCTCCCGCTCGGGCATAAGTCCTTATTCCGGAACACTGTTCCGGAAAAGGGCCAGTGTAGACAGCCCAGTAGTCTTTTCCGGAAAAAAGCCCCGATCATGAAAATGGCGATCGGGGCTCTTTTCCGGAAAAGCACGTCTACATTGGCCACAGACGCTTTTCCGGAAAAAGGGCTTTTCCGGAAAAGCAGCCTGGCAATGTAGACACTCCTTTTCCAGAAAAACTGAAAACGGAATAGTATTCCGTTTTAAGCAGTTCCGGAAATTCATGCCAGTGTAGACATAGCCTATTATTCTAATATATTATGTAACATTTCTATTATAAGTTACTTTCACAAGATCGTGTTTTATTGTTTTCTTAGGGAGATGAAGATTCAGGTTGTTCTCTTTCTTCCTTGTAATAAATGTGTAGCTCTAGGTAAAAAAGTTAAGTATTCTCAAGCTGTTCAAAGAGGTGTCTTCTTCTAAATATAATATTTAAGTTCAAATAGTCAAAATGGTTGTTTGCTATGTCCCAGAACTGACATGTTAACAGATAAAGATAGACAGAACATGGGTCCTGTTGCAGTGTCTTGCCATGGTATGTCTAACACTTTGAATTATTTGGAGAGTACATACCTGTAGAGTGAGATTGATATATTGTTAGAGACTCAGGAGAAGGGTACAGAGACTCTGAGGGATTACTGCTTGAGTTATAGCTATGACATTGTCCCACATACAGATTCAGAAAGTGTAAGCAAACCACGTCTCCAGTTGCTTTTTTTTTTTTCTGGGTCTTGAACTAGTCTTTGGAAGATGGACAGAGCAATACTACGTGGAAGAATTTAGAAATCATTCTGGTGTTTGGAGGTAAATTGATGTTCCATTTACACTAGTCTTTCCCAGACTCCTGGATCAAGATACATTCTATTTGCATTCACTTGTGACATCAGTGATACAGGATGCTTCAATATATTCAAATATTTTGTTCTTCAGTTCACAAAGTGATTCTGAAACTGTTCTCTTTGGTTTGCTTATGATCAAATATCTGAAATGGAGAAACTGAAAGCAATTCCCTAGCCAAACCATTTCCTCTTTGTAGTTAAATACTTAAAACTGTGGCATCATCTGACAAGAATTAAAACCTGTGTTATTGCTGCTTCCCAGTTGTAGAATAGGAAGAGAAACTGGGATTTTTTTGCTAGAACATATTGATTTATGAGTGCTTTGATCTAACTGTCATGAAGGGAATGTGATAAATTTCCCCAAATACATGCCTGCCAATTTATAGCTATCCAGAGTTATATGAGATGGCTGATATTTATACAAGCCTCTCTGAAAGTGCTTATATTTGCGAACAGGTCTTTTTTATAACTTTTTACAAATAAAAAGATGACAGTTTTGTAGGAGACTCAAATCTGTGTTTCATAATGTATGGAGGTCCCTCAGTGATCAAGAGGATAATCATTATGCTTAGTCCACAGAAACAGTGCCAATCTTCCAGTTGATGCACCTTTCCTAAAAATACTTGTCAATACTTTTCAACTGAAGGAAAAAAGTATTCTAAGTGAGTATACCGCCAAGTCCTGAAGTTCTTCAAAGCAGTGTCCATTGGCCTGCATGTTTTTAGTAGCTCTACTTGTGCTACTGACTGAGGGTATGGGCGGTAGAGGTTGGCACCTCTCGATTTTCTCCTTACTGTCTCATGGCCTGAATGGAAATCTGGTCCTCCTTGCCTTTGTTACATAAGCTATATAGAAAACATTTATAAATACTTATAGTCTTAGGCTTTGTCTACTCCATGGCTTTTTGCCAGAAGGGGCTGTGCAAATGAAGCGCTGATTAGCATTTTGCCACGCTTCATTCGCATAATCTGTTCTGAGTCGTTTCTGTTTAAGGGGTTTTTGGGCAAAAAATTTCTGTTTTGAGCAATAAGGGTTTTTTTGCACAAAATTGGCCACGGCCACACTGCTTGTTTTTGTACAAAAACGTCTCAGAATAGATTATGCAAATGAAGCATGACAAAATGCTAATTAGCACTTCATTTGCATAGCCTCTTCCAGCAAAAGCTGTAGTATAGACATAGCCTTAGATTGGTAATTAAATATTTAGGCTGTGTCTACATTGGCAAGATTTTGCGCAAAAGCAATTGCTTTTGCGTAAAATCTTGCCGCCTGTCTACACTGGCCACGAGTATTTGCACAAGAACACTGATGTTCTACTGTATGAAATCAGTTCTTGCGCAAATACTCTGACGCTCCCACTCAGGGATAAGTCGTCTTGTGCGAGTGTTTTTGTGCAAGAGGCCAGTGTAGACAGGTAGCATCAATTTATTGTGCAAGAAAGCCCGATGGCTAAAATGGCCATCGGAGCTTTCTCGCGCAAGAGAGCGTCTACATTGGCACGGATGTTTTTGCGCAAAAGTAAATCTTTTGCACAAAGGCACATGCTAGTATAGGCGCTCTCTTGCGCAAATACTTTTAACAGAAAAACTTTTCCATTAAAAGTATTTGTGCAAAATCATGCCAGGGTAGACGCAGCCTTATAGTATGGTATAGAACAGTGGTCCCCAACCTTTAGAGGCGGCCGGGTGCCAGGGGGCATGGCCGTTCGCCTGCTGGGTGCCAGAGGGCGGGGACACATGCACGCCAGTCCCCCCCCATAGCCACGTGCTCGGGGGCAGGGCCCCCCCCCAAGCGCTGCGCTCCCGGGGCTGGCGCTCCTCCCAA